ACTGCCAAGGTAGGATTTCAAGGAAAAGAAGCGACCCAAAAACGGAGACGGACGAAAGCGGCAGTTGCAGCTTTCTCATGAAGCATACAAAGAGTCCCAAACAAATGTGGATTGATACATCAGCAGAGGAGGTGAAGCTCTCAAAAGGCGATATGTGGCAAAAGGTTAACAGATGATTAAAGGAAGTAACACCACAGTTGTTCAGCCAATACGACTACAGAATGGAGATTAACTTCAATGACCAAGAAATCTTCTGACCGACTAAGAGACGTCCACATCCTAAGAACGCACGTCCAGACTGGTGACTTCGACGAAGACTGGTTCAACAAAATCAATACAGACACGGAGCGGATATAAACCAGGAGGCCAGTCTAAACAACAAGTGTGACATCTACAACTCCGACTTCACTATCGGGGATATTGACATGGCAATCAACCTAATGAAGACCCATTCAGCACCGCGGACCAGACAAGATTTCCCCAAGATGCACTCGAGGCAGGGACGCACAAGGGCAGCATTACTGCAACTCTTCCAGAAATGTTGGAGTTCATACTGTCCCCATCGATATGGAAGGAGAAAGCAGTGATCTATATCCCCAAACCTGGAAAGTGAGCATATGGAGAAGGCCAGTAGACGCTAAGACCAACCAGCGCAGTTCGGAAACTCAGTGAGCGAATCGTCAGCCAACGCGCCTGTGTACTAGAACCTCGGGTCTTATGGACCCCATTGACAGAGCAAACCACAGCATCACTCAAGCAATCCTTTGATATTGTGTATATCTGGAGGTTTCAAAATAGAGTCTAGACCGGGGATGATGACAGCGTATGGCGAGATCGAGTATATCAAACTGGCAGACATCGGCTACAACGCTAAATGTTCTCCTTTACATAGCAAACTACCTCACTGGAAGAATCTGCGCGCAACCTGGTTAACACTACCAGTCCTGAATGGATTCAAGACGGATGAGCTCTTACAGGGATCGGTAATCTCTCCCATCCTGTTTATCATTTTCATCAAGGATATGACAAGCAACATCCCGAAAAAGATTGGCTACGCTGACGACTCGCTCGACGCGCGAACATCGATTCAGTGCCGCAGAGAAACAGATGAAAAACCAAGTCTGCAGTCTCACGGAATGGAACAAGAAATGGCGCCTTAAGATCAACCTAAACAAGACCGAAGTGATCTGCTTCAGTAAGGAACCTTTCCTGTGAACTCATAGTGGAAGGGGAAACTCTCGGCAGGTCAGCTCCCAAGGTATGCCTGGGTGTTCACCTTGGTATCAGCACCTGACGTTCCAAGAACACACTGATAAAAAGCCAAGAAAGCGTTCGGAGCCCTGGCAAGAATCAGCGCGCTCATGGCAGAATAGCGCGAATTGAAAATGGAGATCGGAATCGCACTTTACAAGGCATGCGTCAGACCTCATCTGGAATACGCGTACCCTATCTGGTGTTGCGCGTCCAAGGAACAACTCAGAAAAATTTACAGAGTGCAGCGCATAGCCCTACTGAGAGCCTCTGGCACCATCAACACAACACCAGAGTGGCCTTAGAAGTCTCCCGCATGTACCACCGCTGAGACTCCGCTTTCAGGAAATCTTGGCTCACGAAATCATTCGCATCCTGAGGAAGCCCCATGACAACCCTCTCCGCTGCAGGGTACTACATCTCCTGGACAACAAAGTCTTCATGGATCACCGTACCCTAACCCCCTTACACCACATCAAAATGGCTGTCAACTCCCTATGCAGGAACTTCTCACTGGACCGGGTTGAACACGAACCACAATACAGCTTGGGCACGCTTAACGCGACGATGGTTACAGCGCGTTAATAACTCATGGTACACGCTCGGTAACAGCAAGAGCAGATCGACCGCCCAAGCTGTAAAGGCAAGGAAAATCACGGAGGAACAGCTGAAGGAGACTGATGAAAAAACCATAATCGCCTTCACTGACGGATCAGCACTCGGGAATCCTGGACCTGTGGGGCGGCAGCCATCATCTATACGCAAATGGATCAACAGCCAAAGCCATCGCAATCGAAAAGGCTATATCGTGTAAAAGCAGCAGCTATCACGGAGAACTGCACGCAATATTCCTCGCATTGGACTTCGCAATAAAACTCTGCACTCCACACAATCATCAAACTCAGAATCTTCTCGGACTGCCAAAGCGCCATTCTCACCGTCACGGCCCCAACAAAACAACAATTTTACAACACTTACTCAAACATCAAGAAGAGAAAGCAGCTATACACAAATAACATCAAGATTGACATTTGCTGGGTAGCAGGACATGCAGGCCTGGCTGCAAATGAACTTGCAGACAAAGAAGCGAAACGGGCAGCCTTCGAGGCCGCAGAAATGGATATATCTGAAGACCACTCTCCGCTTTCTTTCTCCGAGGCCAAAGGAGAAATCAAGAAAGCCTTGGTAGAACGATGGCAGAGTTCATGGGACAGCTCTGTTACAGGCAGGTACTTTCATCATCTGGAGCCTAAGGTAAACATAAGCAGCGTTCGCAGCCTCACCAATCGCAGAACAGAAACCAAGCTGAACAGGATTAAAACTGGACACACTAAACTGAAAGCCCACATGTTTAAGATCGGGGCAAGTGATAGTCCCCTATGCGACTGTGGCCTCGCCAATGAAACCGCGTGAACACAAGTTATTACATTGCTCACGACTCAAGTTAGCAGGGAGAAGATGACTGACACGATCGAACTTGGGGTATGTGAAGACCACACCAACGCCCAAGCCATCGGTCTATTGACATAGCCACCCTTACTGGGGAAAAACAGGATCTTACAACCAGAGATGGGTGCCACCATCAAACAGGCCCTCTCCAGATTCCTGTCTGAGTCCATCCCAGTAATTTAGCCACATACACTCCGTTGTTACCAATTTGTTGTTGTTTTTTTTTTGTTTTTTTTTAAACTACAACAACAAATTACTATGAGGAAACACCGGTAGCTAATGATACAAAGAGGGTTTACATTGTGACCATGACCTCGTGAAGTAGGAGGATAAACGAATAACAACAACAACAACAACAAGTGAATGTTGTTTTAGGTTTTGCAATTTCAATTATGTTTGCACCACGCAAATTTTATACTACTTATTACTAGTTTCGGTCGGGTATAGAGTTGCTGAAAAAGTACTAGTAATATGTTATCTGTAGCATTTCCCACTCGCACACAGGGCTGGTCAACCCAGACATTCTATAGCCTTACTGATTTCTACTAGCCTCGGGCGAGCGGGCGAGCGTTAGTTTCAAGCCCTGAACTTGTAATTATATTGTAACATACCACCTTTTTTTTTTACTTTATCATTCCCCTTTTTGTCATGTTTCCCTTGCTTGATCCCCTTGTGTTATGTCGCAATAACCTCTCCGGTCCTTACCACCCGGTCTAAGTAGCCCGACCAGCCTGTGTGACTATAACGTCAATATACACATCTTGATTTATGACCGTTTCTTGGAGCTACGGTCTAAGATACGATCGCTGGATTGTGAATTCGGCTGAATCGCCGCGAGGTGTGTGGTGCGAACTAGGAAGACATAGATCAACAACGGAAATGAATTACTTTATGCATCGGTCATTCAACCAACGCGTTTAATCAAAGAATAACGTCAGACTAATACACTTGCATTATATACGTGGATCGGCTCTATACGTAACGATAGGTAGATTCATAACACAATAAGAACGTGACACAGTAAAGAGCCGCTTAAACATTAGGGATGAGTCACCCCGAGGAGAGAGAGAGCCGCCGAAAGCCTCCCTTATATACGATCACGCGCTCAGTTTACTCCTAATTGTCAAGACGTGGCATTGAGATAGTGTTATTCTGCGACTTGGCGTAGAACAAAGCGCGAGTTAGGCCATTCATGAATGAAGGCCTATTAATGCCGTGACATATTCCGTTGCCACACGTTGGTGACGTTGCAAT